AATATCCGATGGAGCCTCAGACTAAAAGCAATCACTATGGAGCCATCAAGCAGTTTAGACGACATTTTACAGCATATGGATCCTTCACTACTACAGGGATACAAAAAGTTTATGCATGAAGTGATTATACCAGGCATCTGTTATCACAATCTTACTATGGAAACAATGAACCGTTATTTATTGGACTTGAACCAGCATGTCACGGATAACATTGTTGGAAACGCTCTTTCTTACTACGAGATGCATGCGCCACCAAAGATCAAGTCCTTTGGGATTTGAACATGTCCAGGCGGTGACGTCAATAACCTATAAATCTCATGTTGTTCTACTCATCACCACATACTACCATGGCTTTCACTGTAATTTCTGGCGGTGCCAATGGAGTGGATTTAGAAGCAGAAAAGTTGGCAAGACACTATGGTTTACCAGTGCATGTACTCATACCTCCTTGTCATCCAAGAAAAGCCTCCATAAAACTCTTAACTCATCAACATTTAGCTGAAGCGATTCCTATCACAACGCAAGTGGCTTTTCGTCTCAACAAACAGTTAACCAACCCGATCAGTTTACAGTATATACATCGAAATTATCATGTGGTAAAACAAGCTGACATGGTGCTGGCGTTTACCTGTTTTGAACCAGAAACAAATGTTTGCATGGGCGGAACAGGTTGGGCCGTGGAAATGTGTAAAGTCCTCAACAAAGTCTTGTATGTGTATGATGTGGAGCGGAACGTGTGGTTGTGGTATAATCCTAAGCAAGATATGTTTTACGTCTGTGATCAGATGTCAGAAGAACAGTACGCTATACCTACACTCCTGAAGAAAACTGCCATCATTGGAATGAGAAACATCTACGATTACCCTGAGGCTCTTTTAGAATTGCAAGAGACTTTTAAACGTAGTTTACATTTACCAAAACAAGAAGACAAGTATGTCAAGGAACTTTGTAACCCATTTAAATTTTTAACTATTTTATAAGGTTTTCTTCCTAAGGTAAAATGATTTTTAATTGCGATCGCCATCAAACGTCTTTGTTCCAATGGATCTGAGAGTTCTTTCTGAATGTGTCGCATCATAGACTCACAGTTTAAGATTTCTCTGACTGCTTGAGTGTTTTTTAATCCCTTGCTTTTGCAGACTTTGGTCCAGCAGAACTAAAGACTGTAATGCTATGCATAATGAGGTGGGAATCATATCCACGCAAATTATGGAAGAATACAGGAATGTGTGTTGTACGCCGCTTGTTTCGGTTACATGAACTATGGGCCGCTCCACTCCCCTGTGACATGATTGTGATCTCTCACTTTACACCATTTTTCTTCTTTCTCATGGAAATAAAATCACACTATTGTTAAACTTTAATTACAAGAAAAATAATAATAATAAAATAAACATTGTTCACCTGACTACTTTGTTGTGATTAACTCGGAAAGGGGCTGATAGTACAGTGGTTTAGTATCCCTGCTTGTCACGCAGGTGACCCGGGTTCGATTCCCGGTCAGCTCGTTCTTTCTTAATTTTGCGATGCTAGCAAGGTTGGGAAAGACTTATTTCTTTACTTATAACCCAAATAAACATTTAAGACTAGTTTAAAAACGTTTTAGAACGTTTTTACACAAGATTCGGTACTGCCCATGCGTAGTACACTGCGCATGCGTACTGCGCAGAGGACAAAAATTCTGTACCACATGTCTAAGCCATTCCCTTTATCCACATATATCAGTTCACTTTTACATATTCATTAGTAACTAAGTTCCGAGTCTTCTCCGAGCGCCATCTTGAATTTTTAATTGAGAACTGAGAACAATAGCCTTTAAACAATAGCGGTGGCGGCATCCTTTGAAGCCCCCAGTGCCGTCTATCACTACTGAGGCTGGTTTCGGTCGATGTTATTTAGTCTCGACACGCCACGAAATACTATCTAACATCGCCCGAAACCAGGTTTCAGTGACAGAAGCTAAGAGAAGGAGAAGACAACGTTTTACTGATAAGTATGTACTTTATTGACGTGCTATCTTGTTTAAAAAGCAAAATCGAAGTTGATATAAACAAAGCTCGCAAATAATACATGTATATAAAAGGCCAGGCAAAATAAGCTGATAGCTTACTTGCAATCCCGGGGGGAGGGGGCCTCCCATATGAAAGGGGCGGGGATGCTCGTCGGAAATTTTGAATTAAACCTCTAAACCTCCAATCTGGGCGTGACCCAACCGCTAAAAGCAATCATTTTAAACTTTGATCACATGACTCAAGTAAATAAAACAAATTGAAAACATACAATTTTTTAATATTTCTTCTAGTGCAACCCTAAAAGAGACCTTTGCGGCTAAACATGATGGTGTTTTGCCCAGAAGACCCTAAAGCAAGACCAAAATCTGCAATTTACACCCCTAAGCAAGATTACGAGCATCCCCGCCCTTTCATATGGGAGGTCCCCCCCCCCACTCCCTCTTGGGCTTGCAGTTTTAGATTACGTTTAGTATAAAAGACACTGGCCAAGCTGCCACGAATTTTCAAAATGAAAAAATTAATATTTTAAGAAATTAGGGAATCTCAATGTATCGATGCTGTGCAAGGAACATGGTAGGCCTGGGTGTGGCCGGCTGCAGTCCAGGGATAAAAGAGTTGTTTCATTCTTGTACTTTTTGCATAGAGAACAGATCATTATAAACATTGGCTAAAATTATCAGTTAATTGGTAAAAACAATTTAACAAAGGAAAAAACAGCAAGAAACGTCAGTTGTCATTTGGCCACGTATTTCATTGCAACTAGAGACTTTTGGAGATCAACCTTTGCCTCATCGCTCTTCTCAAGGAGGGCATGTCAGTCTAAAAACAAAGACAACAAGGGATGAATAAATATCATCATTTGTGTATATCTAATATAAGGAGGTATTTTTAAAGCATTCCACATTGTAAGAGGAAGTACCTGATGAAAATCTGGACTCCTTCCTCTGCTAAGGTGCTATGCAAACTGGATGTAGTTAGGTTTCATTAGTTTTATAGTTATGATAGGACATGTATGTTTTTGTGATTTGTTATTGAAAAAGAGTTTAATTCTTTCTTTTAAATGTTCTATTTTTTTAATGACACAGTTGATGCAAAATTTTTTTTTTACCATTCAGGCAAACGTTCCACAGTCATAGTTATTTTCTTGTACTGGAACTACCTAATGGGAAGGAAATTTAAAAGAAGCCATTAAGAAATATTTCCCACAAATACGAATGCTTCTTTCTTAAATTTAAACAAACACTGGAGGTGAAAGAAGTTATATTTTCATTGCTGAAACATTTTTTGTTACCTGCATAATTTAGTGCCAATTATTTTCCCATGATCAACATAGATGTATAGCTGATTGTCAATGAATCTTACAAAGAGGTTACCCTATATACTGAAATAATTTTTATTAGTGTTAAGTTTTGATACTTCTTGTTTATTTCACCCACTTGCAGCAATAACTGAATTGTTGGGAGTAGTGGGGGAGGGATGTTTTACGCCGGTTCTTTGCGGGGGAATTTCATTAACTTGCGGGGGGAATAAATTAACGCAGAAGACGTCATGTATCTCATTAAGATAGGATGATGTCATATTTTAAATTAATGCCGATGACATCATGCATGCTCTTAAGATAGGATGATGTCATAGTTTGTTTTTAGCTGGCTGACGTCATGTATGTCATATAGATAGGATGATGTCAAGTGAAGTCAGAGTTTCCTAGAGTTGACGTCATCAAAAAATGTTGACATCATAATCTATAAACAGAAAAGTGATTTTTATATAATTACCTATTTGCTGTAGTCTTCTGATTAGATATTGTAGAAACTGTCATGTGTTCAAAATAAATCGGGCAAATTTTGAAAGTGTTATCTTTGCAGATTATACTAAATGAAAAATCTTTAATCATTAAATATTTTTCACTAAAAATCGGTTATAAACAAAACTAAGACACGGAGGTTAACTGAAAAATCTTTACTTCAAAAGAAGGGAAAAGGAGGTTAAGCGAATGCGAAATCGTACTACTTTTTCAGACAATACATGAAAATGAGGTCGAAGCTCAGCGAAGCGAAAAACTGACTATCAAGCAAAAATGTCAATCTTTCTTTACTTGACTCTGTAGAAAGTATTGCACAGGGTATGAAAATTCTATAGAAAACAACAGGTGGTTCTAAAGTAAACCCTTACTCTTTTGGTTCTTAAATAAACCCCATTCTTGTTCCTAATGAGTGGAAAGTCAATTTATAAAAATAGGAATCAGAGGTGCGATCGCCTAGCAACACATGTCTTCTTGTTTAGCGCTAAAAATCGGATATATAAACAAAACACACACATACACAGAGTGGAGCTGAAAACTCTCTATTTCAATTTTGACTCACCATTACGAAAGCGTTTTCTCTGTTCTATCTCGAGGAAACGACAAACTATTGAAATCTCAGCGCTTGATGAGCTTATGGTCGCCGTTAGTCAGTTAATTATGCGGGTTAACAAGCCCAAACTTGAATACAAATTAGTTCATCTCTACAGCTAGACCCAAGAGAGCACCTTGACTTATTAATAACTTAAAAAGGATCAATTAAAACACGCGACAAATAAATTGACAAGACACGAGATACAGTTTTAAAAACTTTATTAAAACCAGTGACAAAAAGAGTCGCATACTCAGCGATTTGAAAGAGATGGAAATTAATCATCTTCTTCGTTCTCCTCTGTAGAAGGTGAATAAAAATTGGTTTTCTTGGCGTTTTTGTGTGTAATTAATCCACAATCGTGACACCGAAGAAAGCCCTCTTTGATGTATTTTCTCTCTTCGGGGATCTGGTGATCGCATATAGGTCTAATCTTGTAGTTATCGTGCCAAAAGCATTTAGGACATTTCATGATCAATGTGGAGTACACATTAGAGTTTTCGCAATGTTCACAGGGACGTTTAGAGTGAAAGGTGGTGGACGTTTCAGGGCTACTACTTTCTGTTTCCTCAGTATCGTTTACAATGTCGTTGTCGCGCTCTTGTGTGCCTTCGGTTTCAACGCCATTCTCAGAAGCCACTTCCTCCTCCTCCTCCTCCTCCTGATTTTCAATATCACATGAACTCTCGTCATTATTACTCTCATTATCGGAAGTATTTTCTACATTTCGGTAGCCTTTTCCCTTTTCTATTAAATCACTTAACAACTTTTTGTTCTTGATTAAACCTTTATCGATTCCTAACTCTGCGAGTCCATCTAGAAACGTATTCAGCGCACGAGGCTTGGTAACCTCATTGTTATGAGGGAGCAACACATACTCAACTGGCTCGGCGATGTTTGTGACGGGAATAGTGCGTTTATTTCGAAGTAATAGTCCGCTGGGAGTCCAGGAAAGAATATCTTTGGACGCGGCCATACTATGCAGCAAATCAGAAGCACGCTTTTCCGACACTTTTCGGGAAAGATGACTCAAAACATCTTTTATTCTTGGTTCTTCATCCTCGCTTTCATCACCACAACTTTCTCTTTCTTCATGTTCACTCTCCTGTTCTTCTTCAACCAGATCTATCTTTCTCTTCATTTTGATGAGTACCCGTGACAGACCGTAGCTTCAAATGAGTAACTTATAGTTTCGTTTCCTCTTTTATAGCATCAAAAATCCTAGGCTTGTAACAGCAGGTACCAATAGGTGTTGAATAAAACCATCGCCCTCTTGTACAAGGATTCGCTTCTTTGTTTTTTAAGGGGCATTTGTTTCTGCTAGGTTTACTAGAGCATCCTTATATGGCAACACGTTCCAGTTATTTTCTTCGGGGATAAAAATGTATTCCTTAAGTATATTGTATAAGACTTGGACTAATGCATGTAGTTGTTGTGGACTGGCTGTCCGTAAAAGAAACTGTCGCTGATGAGCTGGACAAACAGCTAAGAATTGAAGAAAACCACGATTGTTCTTGAAAACTTGAGACATTGCTTCAAAGTGAACTAAAGATGGCAGTTGGCAGCCTTTTATAGAATCTCGTGGAGAAAAAAAAATGAAACGAGTGCCCGAAGGATAGAAAACAATAGAATGAGGAGGTTGAGGAGGAGGAAAAATAATAGAAATGAGAAAGAGGATGAGGAGGAAAAGGAGAAAAAACAATAGAAATGAGGAGGAGGAGGAGGAGGAGGAGGAGGATGAGGAGGAAAAACAATAGAAATGAGGAGGAGGATGAGGAGGACGACGAGGAAAAACAATAGAAATGACAAGGAGGAGGAGGAGGAAAAGCAATAGAAATGAGGAGGAGGAGGAGGAAAGAAAACAACAGAAATGTGGTGGTGGTGGTAGTGGTGGTTTTGGGGGAGGGAAACAATAGAATTTTATTACCTGAAAACCTATATAAATGCGCAACATTCTACCTCTTTTTCAGTCTCCATTTTGCTCCTGAGGAGTGAACATGAGTTGGCTCTGTTCTGTCTGCGAAAAGACCTTTAGTAGAAAAGATAATATGCAAAGGCACGTGATGTCTAAACACCGCAATGCTGGTCTCACCCCATTTCAAACAGTTCCAATATTTTCACAGAAATGTCAGCGGTTTCGCTTCGAGCACCCTTTCACCTCCATGATTGCCGGAATGACCGGGTCCGGAAAAACGGTCTGGGTTCGATCGCTATTGCAACAAGCTTCAGAGACCATTTACCCTCCCCCGGAGAGGATCGTTTGGTGTTATTCACAATGGCAGCCTGCGTATACACAAATGTTAGTCGCCGTGCCAAACATTGAATTCGTCAAGGGAATTCCTACGGCTTTGGAGCAGGATTCCTATTTTGATGTGAACAAACGGAATTTGATCGTGTTTGATGATCAGATGATTGACGCTAGTAAAGACAAGCGAATTGTGAACGTCTTTACTCGTGGTTCTCATCATCGCAATCTGAGCTGATTTATATCGTGCAGAATCTATTTCATGAGGGAAAAGGTAGCCGCAGCATAAGCGTAAACAGCCATTATCTGGTGTTATTCAAGAATCCACGAGACAAATTGCTAATCTTGACTCTGGGGAAGCAAATGTATCCCGGGCAGATGGATTTCTTTTTAAATCAGTACGAAGAGGCTGTAAAAAGACCTTTTGGTTATCTTCTGATTGATCTGAAAACTACTACCCAAGGTAATTGTCGTCCTGCCCAGTGAAGAAGGCTTTAACCAAGCAGGGTTTCAAGAAAATATTCCTCAAGAGCTTCTAAAATATCTGAAGCAGCAAACTCTTTCGCCTGTCCTACTTCTTCCAGCTATGCAAGAAATACAAGACAACATGGATGACGTGCTTTCTCGAAACGATGTTCGGGACGATGAAAAAGCTAAACGATACCTTCAGTTGCAAAACAGATACCTGGCTTTTAAAGAACAATTAAATGCAAGAACACGACCGGAAGAAATAATCAGCACTGTTCCAGACTTAACATCAAGGACACAAGATTCTTCGACAGCAACGACAGCATTCTCGACTCCCCTCAACCCCTTTAATGTAACACCTGAAATTAACACAAGCGGCTATCTCTCAAAAACCTGACAAAGAAAGCCTCACCCCTCCACCAACCTTAAATCCTGCTTTCCTGACCCCTCCTCCCACAGTAGAAACCCAATCACCACAAGGCCCGAAGCGCAAGAGGCGTCGGATTCAATTTCTAAATTATTTGGATGATCATAAATCTCATGGCAAACAGCTGAAGAAACGTCGGCATAAGAAATTTAAACCTTACAAGTACTCCATGGGCGAAGATGAAGATTAATTAATTTCCATTCCTCTGTATTTGACTCTTTTTGTCACTGGTTTTTATAAAGTTTTTAAAATTGTATCTCGTGTCTTGTCAATTTATTTGTCGCGTGTTTAAATTAATCCTTGTAAAGTTATTAATTGTTTGTGTTTTTACCATTACGAGCCGCAAGGTCGATTTTCGTGCACGCACCAGGGGTCCTTAATTTCCATTCAGATACCCACAAACTGGACTCGAGTAACTACAAGGCGTTAGTCTTGACACATTTCCTTGCGCACCTCAGGTGTGCACATTAATCGCTTTCTGTCAGTTCATCTGTCAATAAACTCATTTTAGGACAGGAGACAAATTTGCGTCAAATATCAGAGCTTGTCTTTGCGCGCCGAATTTATACCATCGGAGCGAGATATTTTAACTCAGCTATGGTTCTCGTCAAAATCGCTTAATAAAAATAATTTTATTCATGGTTGGTGTTAAAAAAGGGTCTTGTTGCAAGTCTTGGAAAAAAAGAAATATTTTTTCGTGACTTAAGCGAAAGGCAATATCTAGCGCTTTATGAAGGTCGAATTTGAACCCTCCAAAGTAATATTTAGTACATAACCTGGTAAGTTACATATTGTCACCGAAATGGTTTAAAAGTTCAACGTGAAAAAGAGTTCTGAATGTTATTTCGCATTATGTCCGAAGAACAGAAACTGTGTTCGCCGATATAAGGTAAGAGAGAACTTTATTATTTAAAAGCCGTAGAGGAACAGCTTGTTATGGCTCTCGCATGCGGAATTCGAGCACATCGGTGAAGCTGGTTTGACGACACAGAAATCGTGGTTCCAGGAAAAAGCGAACTGAGGAAAATATTTACTTGCCTTTGGTATTGTCTATATCCTCGATCACTATACAATAACGCGCAAATATTATAATTCAAAGGGCATTTACAAAACGCGCCAAAAGAGCCGTGATCGCGCCAAAATGCTCGAACCATCTAACAGAGTGTAAAAGGGGGGCTGGTAGGCAACACACGACTTCTACCTCGTGCCAAAATGCTGCTTGTTCCAAAACTTGTTTTCTCTGGTGGGTATATTATATTCTGGGTTCTACTCTTTGAATGAGTAAATGTGAATTTTGCCGCTTGTTTCATACGGAGAGGTCATGACACGCATATTGATTTTCTGCCGTTATTGTTTCTGGTCGGCATGATTTGCCCTCTGATGCAACAGCACTTTCTTCGACCTCTTTTGAAACTTGAATCTCTTCCTTTGCGGCTAAATATGAGTTTTAGGTTGTTTATTCTTCTCCAAAGTGCATCCTGGATCTAAATAGCTAAAGGCGATATTCTTTTGTGCGTGAATTTGATGGTTTCCTTCAATTTTTGTCAAGCTGGGCCAAGCTCATTTAGTATTTCTGCATGCAGGATGTTAAATTTTCACCGAAAGTGATTTACAGCTCCAAATTTCGAAGAATGGATTCTAGGAACGCATTTTGTGAACGGAGATATTTTTTAAGTAAAAAGAACTCGGATCCTTAAATCGATCGTGTTTTAGCTAGCCAATTGCAGTTTTCATATTCTGTGTTAGTTTGGATGATTCAGTGGATTATTCTCTCCTCTCCCTCTTGGCTTACAGGCGGCACGCCCAAGTTTAAGAGGTGAAGAGAGATTTTTTGAAGGTAAAAAACTCGTAGATTGAATCGTCATGTTTTAGCTAGCTAGCCAATTGCAGTTTTCATGCGCTGTGTTAGTTTGGATAATTCAGTAAATTTTTCTCTCCTCTCCCTCTTGGCTTACAGGCGGCACGCCCAACTCGTAGCCTGAATAGACCATGTTTTACTAGCAAGCCAATTGCAGTTTTCATACGCTGTTTTACTTTGGTTATTCTGTCCTCTCCCTCTTGGCTTACAGGCGGCGCGCCCAAGTTTAAGAGGCGAAGAGAGATTTTTATAAATTAAAACACTCGTAGCTTGAGTCGAACATGTTTTACTAACAAGCCAAATCCAGTTTTTATACGCTGTGTTAGTTCGAATAATTCAGTAAATTTTTCTCTCCTCTCCCTCTTGGCTTACAGGCGGCACGCCCAAGTTTAAGAGGTGAAGAGAGATTTTTTAATGCAAAAAACTCGTAGATTGAATCGTTATGTTTTAGCTAGCTAGCCAATTGCAGTTTTCATACACTGTGTTAGTTAAGATAATTCAGTAAATTTTTCTCTCTTCTCCCTCTTAGGTTACAGGCGGCGCGCCCAAGTTTAAGAGGTGAAAAGAGTTTTTTCAAGGGCGAAAAACTCGTACCTTGAGCAGATCATGTTTTTCTAGTTAGCCAATTGCAGTTTTTATACGCTGTGTTAGTTCGAATAATTCAGTAAATTTTTCTCTCCTCTCCCTCTTGGCTTACAGGCGGCACGCCCAAGTTTAAGAGGTGAAAAGAGATTTTTTAATGCAAAAAAACTCGTAGATTGAATCGTCATGTTTTAGCTATGTTAGTTTAGATAATTTAGTAAATTTTTCTCTCTTCTCCCTCTTGGCTTACAGGCGGCGCGCCCAAGTTTAAGAGGTGAAGAGAGTTTTTTTCAAGGGCAAAAAACTCGTAGCTTGAATACTAGATCATGTTTTACTCGCTAGCCAATTCCAGTTTTCATACGCCGTGTTAGTTTGGATAACGCAGTAAATTTTTCTCTCCTCTCCCTCCTGGCTTACAGGCGGCACGCCCAAGTTTAAGAGGTGAAGAGAGATTTTTTAATGCAAAAAAACTCGTAGATTGAATCGTTATGA